AAAATAAACAAAAAAACAACAATGTTGCAAAAAATATCGATTTTGTGATACGCAATGTGCACGGTACATTTTTACTAAGCCTGTTTGTAATACAAAATGTCATTGTAAATTTCATACAGTTTCATTAAATATTGAAGAAAATCAATGCTTTTCGCGGAAAACTAGATCTTGGTCGGAAAATCCTAGGTGCATCCGGGTCATTCGGCGTCGGATAAACCCTTTTCTTCAGCGCGCGTGATACTAGGCGAGCAGTGGTGTCGAGGAGGTGTATTGGATCGTCGCTCCGCTCCTAAACGCAGGAGTGAGCGAGAACGACTTATTGTTGGAATGTTAAAGCCAGAACGAGACACATTACCGGTGAAGGTCAAACTGATATGAAACACAGCGTAGCTCCGTTCAGAATCTTGTTTGTTTATTCATTGAAATGTAAATAAATACGGCATTTTCATATTGATAATTTGATATTATTCATGCATAGTAATGTTGGAACTAGTGAAAAACAAACTTGTGTTAATTTTAACACTAATTTGTGTATTTCTGTTTTAAACAGGTAATTTTAATTTAAGTAAGTACCATTCTATTTTGTTCTATTTGTATAAATATTTTATTTTAATGAAGTTAGGCAAGGAAAATATCGTGTTTACTAATAATAAATACGATTGGCATTCTGTTTTGTATATATGAGCATAGGTAATTTCGATAAATATATTATATTAAAATCATTTATTAGATTCATATCTATATTTTTACCTTATGATATATGAAATATATAGTACATATGTATATATAAGTAGGATGCAATTATACGATGTTTGAACGTCAATGGCCGAATCTCAACTTATTTTAAACTCCATTACCATTTTAAAAGTACATTATGAATGTGAACATACACTATACACTAATGTAGATAATGTTCTCTAATCTGGACTAATCTGGACTAAATTGTATTCCAATTGAGCCCAGATTGAACAACAATCGGGATAAAATAATAGGGTTCAATCTCTCTTTATTACTACTCTGTACGGTGAAATCGAAAGAGATGCCGCGCTATACAAAAGTGAAATGGATAGACCAGCACGTGTTCCCTTTCATTATCTTTTAGCCTCTTCCCGTTCCTGTCTCTCCAATATGACAACTCATGAGGGAATTTAACTCAGCTCAATCAGTCCGCCTGAACTCGTTTGTGAAAAAAAAAACGGGATATTTTCAAACTATTTTAATGTTGGTTAATTAATATTTTGGTATAAGGTGCATGAATAATGTAAAATATAAAATAGTTTTTTAGGTTTATTTCAAACAAAAAAGGTGTACTACTAATGTTATTCCACTTTTATTTTTTTTACATTTTTACTTTTTTCATGATACGAATCACGTTTTAATTAAATTTAATTAATTATATAATTTATATAACTGGGTATATTCTTAGTAATAATTTTTTTACAAGATTTTCTACTATTTCGCACAAAATGTAAAAAAAATATGGACTAGGTACTTAGTAGGAGCAACGATGGCTTGAAAACAGCATAAGCTGAGTGCATTCTCGATTCTATTTGGGGCAGTAGAATTAAAAGTTATTTTGCGCGCTACACACCTCTTCTTATATCTATTAGAAATTGTCTAAACTGTGTTATATTTTTCCTAAACTCTGTTTTGTCCATTGGTCTAATGAGATTGATCTCATATTGTAATTTTTTAAGATGTATTAAAAATTTCTCAATATTTAGGAAAATCGATCGTTTAAGATCACTTCATAAAATGTTTATTTGAAAAAAGATCATTTACTATTTCTATTTCTTTTATATTCCGTAAAAATACTTACTCAGTTGGAATATGGATTATAATTATTATATATGTAAAGGTTATATTTAACCTTTTGTAGTGGCTTAGAAAATAAAAATGTAGAAAAAGAAAATGTCATTAAAGAATTTTATAACCGTATCTACGTAACGACCCTTATTTTCGGTTTCCGATACCAAATATTTCCAAACTACACTTGGTATTGGTATTTATCAAAAACCGAGACCGGTTTCAGAGATGCGATCAGCTGAGCCCTATTCGTTACCCAGAATAACTTGACCTACCAATCTTTATACAGATTCCCTTTATGTAACAAATATTAATGTTGTGAGGGGTGCGCGGTAGGTCATCTAAAAATGGCGGTATTGTGTAATATACATAATCAAATGCCTTGCAGTGATCCGTAATAAATTAAATGTTGATTTTTTCTACTTCTAAAAGTTTAATCCGTGGGATGGTTATAAGATTAGTCTTGCGTAGTGAAATATTTTTGTAATACGCATTAAAATTGTATTCTAATGTGCAATAAATAGAGTTCTGAATACATTGTAGGAATTTGGCATAGTTTAATATTTCATACTGATTACAACCCGCAATATTTTCTTTAGAGTAGGTAGATAAAATGTACGAGTATTTTGTGTAATTCATGTTTCGAAAATAATCAGTTTTAGTACAGCAATAAAATTAGAAAAAGTATTTTATCTATTTTTCTTTTCAATTTCAGTATAATTCTATTTAGTTTAGATACAAATTGTAGTCTTGGATTTTTTTTATGCTTAGGCGTAATGACTTGACTATATAAGAAATTAAGAAGACCAGACATTCGCTGTTTCAGCCGAGACAAAGACTGTTTCGATTTAGTAAAACCTAGTTTTTGTCATATATAAATTTAATATTCTTTATTTCTATTATTATAATTACGTCTTATCAAAATTTTTACTTTTTTTGTCGCTTTTGTACTCCAAAAGTTTTAAAGTCACTTAAGAAAAAATAGCGTTTGAAAGTTTAAATATTTTAGTAATTGTTTTTATTTCTTATACTATGAATAAAGTTGTATTTTTTAAATAAATTGTCGTATGTATAGGTATAGGTCACAAACAAATTTTGAATATTATGGTTTACTACACCTTATCCTTATCATTATCCTTATCCCACCTTATGCTTATATAGGTACACACATAGATTGTGGAATTGGAATCAAAAAATAATATTACATGCAAACTATTTCCTCTAAAAGAGCATTATCGTACAAATATAAACTTTGTACACACACAAAGCTTAAATCTTTTCACAGCACAACAAAAACACATTTACATTCACAAGCATTAATACCAAGTTTATTATTTTGTGCATTTGTTTCTCCATCATAAATTACACACCTTGAGTAATTCTTCCTCAACTTCATTGTATACTTACTAGTTTATGGTGTATTACCGCGTACATTATCTTTATGTTTGAATACTAGTTCTACCCGTGACTCCATGTTATCATGCACTGGAATAACAATCTTATGTTCTTTCTCATCTGTATCAAAAGTAAATTATTAATAATATCATAATTTCATTGTATTTGTTTAAGACGTGAAGACACAAACTAAGTTACTAGTTAATATCACCTTCTCAACCTAGACTTCTCAAGCAAAACAACCCGTTAAATTTTATGACGATCGGTCAAACTCTCAAAGCGTTATGAGCTAACAAACAAGCATCTTATTTTTCAACAAAGCGATTCAACCCTATGTCACTTCATTCCTTCTGCATTTGTACATCCTTGTCGTGACTTTTATGATATCAGTGGATCTTCGTTGTCACCTTTGTAAAAGAGCTTCCTGCAATTTATCTTCATCTGGTACTGTTTTTGGCTGTACTACATCTTACAATGGACTGTCTGGCTCCATTGTCAATTATTGGTGTTATTATTGGTAACGTTACTACATTATCAATATATTATAATATAAATTAAGTCATCTATTTCGTGCATTGCTTCTTATATATTATCATAGAACAGATGGATGAGAAAGTACCCAACTGCAAAAGAAACTAAACAATATTCGAGATTAAAATTGAAATCGTATGGACTTTATAACATTTACTGTCAGTATAAACTCTTAGCTACTTTTAGTATCAGCGATCGGCAGTTGTACTGTTTCTCAGAGTCCTAGTCCTTGACAAGATATACCTTTGCAGATTTATCCATCTGGACAACATTTTAATTGAAATTCATTAGCTTCTGCAGTAGAAGCTAACAGTTTATTCATTCGCTCAATTCATCTGCTTGAATTTTTGGTTGACTGGGAAAAAACTGGGTTATCTATGTTATATCCTAAATTATAAGACCTATAGCAAGTTCATGGTTATTTGTAAGCCACTTTCGCATTCTTAACATTAGTTAAATTTCACATTACCAATTATATTTCGATCGTTTATATTTTTGGTACAATTAATTTTATCTACCGTATTTAAGAATACAAGTGCATCTTGGATTTGATTTAGATTCGACAACGATCGATGTTTGATGCTAAAAGCTCTGCTATTTACAAAATCGATACCTTGCCTTGATTTAGGAAATTAAGTAACTACTATCCTCACGATTCTGATTCCAAATGTAGTAATCCAACGATGTCGTGGTGGATTCTCTGACTCATCATCATCTGCGTCATTTCTTATCCCATTTATTTGTGGTTGGCATAATGTTTTTCTCTTCCATTCATCCCTGTTCGCATTCATCTCATTATTTACTCCCTTTCCTACCATATCATCTTTCACACAGTCCATCCATCTCTTTTTCGGTCTTCTTCTACCCTTATAATCATCCACATTCATATCTAACACCTTCCTAAGGTATGATCTTCATTCCTACGAATTACATGCCCATACCACGCAGACGATTAGTTTAGTAAGCATATGCTAGTCTGAGTAGCATATGCTTAATCATACATACATACATCGATGCATATTATATCTACTTAATTGCATAAATTAGTCTTATATAGCTAGCTGAGTATTTATTTATTTTTATTGATTTATGCGTTCCCTGTAGTTATTTAATACCAGATGATACATCTGAATAAATATTTACGTACTGGAATTAAAACGATAAAACGACGTTCCACGCAATAATGATGTCTAATTAATATCACATGTGTGCGCGACACGTGTCGCTCGTTGCAGGCACCGCGTCATTCTGTTGTCATTCCGCCACAGACGCAGCGCAGGCGGCCATGACGGTGGGCGTGGCCAACGTACTCTGCGACGACCGCGCCGCCCCCCTGGCGTGGCCTACGGCCCCCGCTGCCGCCCCGCCCGCACCTCTCTGGCAGTACCCGACCGGTAAGACACACCTCCACTTGACTCATGCTCGCCTGGTAGCTACGCGCCAACTGCATTGCGAGACCGCCGTTTCAGCAACGATAGTTATCCCACCTATTTCAATACAACACCTCTCGAGTTATGCTGCTTTGGTAGCAGCATTGCAACTGTACTTGTCCGGTCAATAGTCGACGTTGACCGGTTTTGGTTACCCGGTCGAATTGAGTCGGTCGTTCTTTACAACAAGTTGTTATATTAACATTCGACTTCTTAAATCGGACGGTTTCGCAATATCGCGTTTGCGCGGAGCTACTCTTGGCGCCTTGTTTTGTTATTCTTTCTTTATCTGTGTTAGTTAATTAACATACATTTTAGAACAGCAATAAATGACCGCCATATAAAAGTTAATTATGTACTTCCGTTCTAATTGCATTATTCATAGTGATTGATTACATTGTCCATGTGGTTAATTAACCTAGTAAAAGATGATTTACTACGAGGACAGAAAAACTTTAGGCAATGTTAGTAGTAGTACTTTTATAAATATCCAATAATTACATATTACTTAAGACCGTTTACTACTGAGGCATCATAACATTTACAGATGTAATTATAAATTTTTAGAAATAAATAAATAATTATAATTTCTGTGTGTCTGAATGTTACTAAAGTGTTCTAGTAGCGATTTGGCAGTCGATTTAATTAACAAAACATATATATCTTTGTACATAAAAATGACGTGTCACGTTGTTTGTCCGCGATGGACTCCTAAACTATTGAACCGATTGCAAATTTGATTTGCACATTGTGTGCGATTTGATCCAACTTGAAAGATAGGATAGCTTACATCTCAATTTATAGTCGCAATATTATTTTATTCAAGAACCTTAGCCACAGCAACGCGTGGCCGGGTCTGCTAGTAGGTAAATATGTATAAATATAAATCAAATAATATATAAATAGATACCATTATATAGAAAATATATTTAGAATCTTTAAAAGCACTATATGACAAAGGTTTGTGGTAGAATTATGCATTAAATTACCTATAAATTATTACTATTAAATATATATTAAAGGACCTATTACTAGCTGGTCCCGCGACTTCGTCCGCGTGGAATTTAACATTATTTTTCCAAAATAAAAGAATTTTCTAAAACAAAAGTAGCCTAAGTTACTCCTTATTACTTCAGCTACCTGCCAATAAAAGTCTTGTCAAAATTGGTCCAGCCATTTCAGAAATTAGCCAGTACAAACAGATAGACAGAAAATATTGTAAAAAATGATATTTTGGTGTAGATATGTACCGTATTTATATTCATATGCATGTAGTAAGAAATAGTTATTTAAATATTACAAACTGACACTCCAGTTTTATTTATATGTATAGATGTGTTAAAACAAAACTAAAAACTTGACGTTCATAAGCGGCTAAAATGTGCTACATGAATAAATGATTTTTGAATTTTAATTTTGAAACATCAAAAAGCTAAGAGCCGAGTTTATTGTCAGTTGTTCTTAGCTCTTAAGCACTCCGAACTGATGGTAGATTTGACGTAGTGTTGTATACAAGATTCAGATAAGCGATCCCAAATTTGAATTAGTTATAAAATTCTCATTTATTCTCGAATAAGTGAGAATATATAAGTTAGATCAATCCTAACTGATATTTATCACTATGAAACGCAACATATAATATAAATTTTAATACACTTTACTAGCTGTGCATGCGGTTTCATCCGCGTGAAATGTATTCTGTTATTCCTAACTTATAGGTTATTCGGATATATCGACGACCTCGGTGGTCTAGCGGTCTAGCACACCGCTTTACGTCCGATGGTCGCGGGTTCGATTCCTCGCACGGCACAAACATTTGTATTCATGAGTATGATTGTTTGTATCGGTCTGGGTGTTTTCTATGTATAATAAGTATGTATTTACGAAAAAAAATATCTATTAAACTTGTATCAGTTATCTAGTACCCATAACACAAGCTTTAGCTAGCTTAACTTGGGTCTAGATGGCGCTGTGTGAATTGTCCTGAGATTATTATTATTATATAAGCTATATTACTGTAAAGTTTTATCAAAATCTGTTCAGTTGTTTTTACGTGAAAGAGTAACAAACATCCATCCATACTCACAAACTTTCGCGTTTACCCTTGCATTTACTGGTTCAAAAGTTAATTAAATTTATTTTTTTCCGAACTAGTTGTGCCCGTTACTTCGTCCGCCTGTAAGTACCTACCTACTTTTATAAACTTATATATTGATGATAATCAAACGACTACAATAGATATAACATGTAGGTATACGTATAGGTATAGGCAGCGTCATCTATATTTTTTTTTATTTTTGATTGGTACAGTAATATTGATAATTAATAGATTGGTCAAAATAATAGTAACTAAAATCCGCTTAATCCGGCTATCACGTTTCCTATGCTTAACTCAAATGTTCAATGCAATGTATTTAATGACTTAATGTATATGGAACAAAGCTTATATTGGCATTGTGGTGTCACACGACGCGCCCAATACAAATAACATAACAACAATAGATATAACATGTAGGTATACGTATAGGTATAGGCAGCGTCATCTATCATTTTTTAATTAAACTAGCTGTACCCGCGACTTCGTCCGCGTGGAATCTAACTTTATTTTTCTAAAATAAAAGTAGTCTAAGTTACTCCTTATTACATCAGCTACCTGCCAATAAGAGTCCCGTCAAAATCGGTCCAGCCATTTCAGAGATTAACCGGAACAATCAGACAAAGATTGTAAAAAATATTATTTTTGTATGTACCGTATTTATATTCATATGCATGTAGTAAAAAACGGTTACTTCAATATTACAAACAGACACTCCAATATTATTTATATGTATAGATTAATTAACAATTAGTATGTATATATTGTATTTAAAATTATTGATTTTAAATACATAAAAATTATTGAGAAAAATATACTGAGGGGTGATCCTTTATAGATTTTTTGTTTCTAAGATTTCTTTAATCTAATTATAGCTATATGTAGATATCGATATATAACAATACATATATTTATTTATTTTATTTATTCTTTATTGCACTTTTAAAAATTGTACAGTTTGGAGAGCTTAATGCCATATGACAGTCTCTACCAGCTAATCATTACGTAAGAACAGAAAGCGGTTGATGGACAGTGGTGAGAAAGGACCTACCTATAAATTTACCTAACATAGGTAAATATATATAAAAACTTTCTCCTGTAGTCGTATTTCGTAATTAAAATCACATTTTTTTATACTTCAATGGCGGCAAATAAGCATACGGCTCACCTGATGGTAAACGGTTACAGTAGCCTGGACGCCTGGGACATCAAGAGTGTCACGTGCGCGTTGCCGACCCTTAAGAAACCTTAATATACCCTTCTTGAAAAACCCCATGCTGTAGTCTCGTGAGAAAACCTCGACAGGTAGTTCATTCCACAACCTAAGTGTACGTGGGAGGAAGCGCCACTAACACCGTAGGTACTGTTCGAGACCACTTAGATCTTATGCTACGTTTACATTCAGCCGCTTCCCCTGCCACTGCGCTGCTGGAAATATTACCGGGCGACAACTGAGCGAGAGGGCTGAATGTAAAAACACGCTGCCACTCGCGCTGCCAGTTCTTTTACTCGCGCACGAAAAACCGACAATCGAGGGAGCGCTGGGCAGCGCGAGTGGCAGCGCCGATGGCATGGGAAGTGTTTCCACTCGTGTTTACACTCTCGCGCTGCTCACTTCCCTGCCCACTCGGGCTGAGTGTAAATAGACATTAGCGTGTGGGGATAAATTCCCTGTCGATGGCGAGCGGTGCGATGGTAAAATCTTTATATATAAATACTAGCTGTCCCAGCAAACGTTGTTTTGGCCTTAAAATAAAAAAAAAAAATTAGGGGTAGTCCACCCCTAATATTTAGGGGGATTTTTTTATGATGATGGATGAAAAATAGACGTTGGCCGATTCTCAGACCTACTTAATACGCTCACAAAATTTCATGAATAGAATAGAATAGAATAGAAAATCATTTATTCAAATAAACTTACATTGAAGCACTTTTGAATAGTCATAACATTTTTTTTTTAATCTACCGCTCATTCGTAATGCTGTCTCATCACAAGAAGAACAAGCAAGAAACTTGTGTGTTGCTCTTTTAAATAATTTATTCTTACTTACAATTTAAGTTTAAGTGTGTGAATACATAACCAACTGGTTAAACAATTAATAAGAGGAAATCAGTCATAGTGATTAGAGCAGACCAGTCCCTACAAGCAGCACCCGTTCACGAGTATGACGGATGAGCCAGCCATCACTGCGCTCGACCATATGAATGAGAATCGGTCAAGCCGTTTCGGAGGAGTATGGGAACGAAAACTGTGACACGAGAATTTTATATATAGGATTGCGTGTCACGTTGTTTGTCCGCGATGGATTCCTAAACTACTGAACCGATTGCAAATTTGATTTGCACATTGTGTGCGATTTGATCCAACTTGAAAGATAGGATAGCTTACATCTCAATTTATAGTCGCAATATTATTTTATTCAAGAACCTTAGCCACAGCAACGCGTGGCCGGGTCATCATCATCAGTCCACTGCAGTCCACTGCTGGACATAGGCCTCTTCCAAGGCACGCCACTGTGCACGATCTTCAGCCCTTCTCATCCCGTTACTACCCGCAACCCTACGTATGTCGTCGCTCAGCCTAGCTGCAGGGCGTCCTACACTACGTTTGCCAATTCGCGGTCTCCACTCTAGAACACGCCTACTCCAGCGATCATCAGTTCTGCGACAGATATGACCAGCCGGTCTGGCCGAGTCTGGTAGTGTTAAAAACTATAGTGTAGGTTACATACAAAACGTCAGTGTTGTATAATAAATATATAGGTACTTACCAGATAAATCTGCTCTGATAAAAAAGAAGCAATTTTCGCTTCGCATTTAATATATGTAAAGATACTTAGCAATAGATTAGATATGGATATTTTGACAG